TCGAATATTTCACCAATAACTTTCACAATAATTCTTTAATACGAGTTTTAATTTCTTTGGCCAAATTAATACTCTTTACCTAAGTAGACAAATTGTATCATAGTACAATTTATTCTCCTCAGTTTGAGAAAAACGCTATTCTTTCAGTACTAGGGGTGTCAATCCCGGGATCCCGAAATCCCGGGGTCCCGGGATCCCGTAAAAAATCCGATCCCGAAAATCCCGGGATTAAAAGTCCCAATCCCGGGATCTTAGTAATAAGTTACAAAGAATAAAATAGACTTTTTTAAGCGTATGATATTTTTCATATTATAATACTTATAACCATATATATATAAACACTTCATTTTTTTACTCAGTTCAAGTCAAATTATTATACACCGCCGTACAATAATGAAAATACATTGAAATTACATAGCAAGAGTGGTTCCAACTATAGCATAAAATCAGCAAAGAAAATGTAAAATTAGAGGTCACTGTAGAATAAATTTATGTATATAACCTATAATATAACATATTTCAAACGTCAAACCTAAAAAAATGTCACAAACTTGATAATTTCAATGTAAGTTACAGCCCCAATTGGAACTCACCAAGGCCCGTTTGATAAAAGAAATGGAATTATGGGGGTAAACGTGGGTACAATGTGCCTACGAATTCTTGAAAACCATTCTTCCGACTAGTGTGAAGTCCGAAAGATATCGTTCGTTAGTTTGTTTGTTGTTTTATTTTAAATTGGTTTTAAAATTAATGAAATACCTATATTTTTTCGGGACTGATCCCGGGATCCCGGGATTAGTTACCTTTGGTCCCGAAAGGCCCGGGATTGGAAAATGGGCTCGGGATTGACACCCCTATTCAGTACTGAAGAAATGTCCCGTACCAGAACTCCATCTTTTAAAGGGTTTGTTAATTATTTGTTCTCCCAGAACAAATGATTTACAAAACCCTGCAAAAGATGGAGTTTTGGTACGGGACATTTCTTCAGTAATGAAAGACTAGCGTTTTCCTCAAACAGGGGGGAACAAATTGTACTATGATAAAATTTTGCTTCTGTTTTATTATGTTTGTCAATATCACAAAAAGTCGGAATTAAAATAAAGTTATAAAGTGCTCTTTTAGTTCCACCCTTACATCCAAACTAAGATGTCCCATAAGCCAACTGAATGGCTTGTGCGGGTTAGGCGTAGGAACGGACCGACGGCTTAAAGTCCCCTCCGAAGGACTATACACAATGGACAAACACAAATAAACAACCATACCCAAGTGGGATTCGAACCCACGACCTCTCGGCTCGTACCCAGGAGCTCTGACCACTACATCACCGTAGGTTTTCAGTATTTTCACTTTATTAACGACTTTTAAAGAATCAGTGTCGGTATTGAATAACAAAAAACATATTTCCTTCTTTTACGCTAAATACTTTGCAACCCTTTCTTAAGTCTTTTAAATAGATAAAATAATACAGTCCTGGGCCTGTCGGTCAGGCAGTTTGCTGTCCAAAAATTATTAATAGGAGTTTTGAGTCTGATACAAATTTTTAAAAATATTATTAATTTTTGTGGGGTTAAACAATATTTTTATAGTTTTCTTTAATATTTTAAACAATGCATAAAATTATAACTTTATACACGCTAGACCAGCCATATTCAAACTGCGGCCCGTGGGCTGCATGCGGCCCGCCAACAAACAATAAGAATGTCATTTATTTTTAAGTAAATGATAACGTTTAAATGTTGAAATTTATTGTAATATAGGTCGTTGCGGCTCGCCTGATGTGGCAGTCATACGTATTTGGCCCAAGAAAACGGTGATAGATCTTTTATTGTGGATACTTTTTTTGCAGATGAATTTGAACAATACTCGTTTGATTTATGTATCACTTTTAAGTGTTTACATGATCTTTAGAAAAATAGTTAAGGATATTAAAAAAAATCATTGGCCTCCATCAGCCAATATTTTAATTGCGTAATTACCAATAATTCTTTCAGTCAGCACTGCTTTTAACAATTTAGTAGCATAAGCCCAGCCTACTTTCCTTGAATTTCGCTTTTTCAACCTCAAAATCATGGTTGGAATGTTTATAAATGTCTCCAAATATTTTATATGTTTTAAAAACTTGTTCTCTATGATACTTCGGAACAGAATTCTTACCAGCATGGGTTCTTAAAAAACTGTGTTCATATTATTATTAGACATACCCATATGATTCTAGTTATTATCTAAGTTTTGTCTTGAAAAGCAAATTTTCGATTTTTTTTTATAATAAAATTGATCGGTATGTAATATTTAATTTTTTGAACTTTTCGTTTTAATAAATTCACAGTGATGTTGTTTACAACGGACTCAGGAGCTGCATCAACCATTAGCTAAATTTTTCTGCACACTTCGGGCACCCGGACATTTGTGATATTTACCAGATCCCTTTAATTATTTAAAACCGTTTTTGCAAACCATATTTGGTTGCATAGTAGTTTAGTTTTTATCCTTCGGAGGTTTCTCAGTAGGCACGTCAACAGCTGTAAGTTTTTTGACAAGTGATAAAGCATTTAAATTACGTTTCTTGCCTCTACATTTCTTGGTTTTGAAGTGACTGGAATTCCGTGCTTCTTTCAAACTTGAGCATAACCGGTAATGAGCGCTTGGAACAATTTTTTTATATTCATACACCGTATTTCGAATTTTAAGAATTACAAATACTTCGTGAAAATCATGAGTCACTAATATCAAACTTTTTATTAATATACTTTTTGATTAACTCGATGCATGTATAAGAATCTAACTTTGTGTTGCCCGGAAATATTTTTTTACCACAACTAGCACAAACCTTCAGTCTATTATCTTCGTGGTAACTAGAGAGTCATTATTATATAAAAGGTTATAATATACTGTGGATACAAATATAAAACGTCACGTTGACAACTTGGTCACCAAACTTACCAGCGCCGCCTGCCATCCCGCTAAAATATAATTAAGAATTTTTATTAATAAGCATTATTAGGGCTCGATTTAAGGCGGAACGCAATGAGCATTATAATAATTATTGTTCATTGCACTGACCAAACCTAGCGGTTTGATTCATGCAATTTGCAGGAAAAAGTTTGTAAATATTTGGTTTACTCTGCACTTATACCAATTTGAAATAAAAAATTGGATTGCTGGTCAAATTTTTGAAAAAAATTAGAAAACCAGGGAAAATCAAAATTTGCAGCAGCAGTGTCCCATTTTTAGCAGCACGAAAAAAAAACAAAATATAATATAATCACATCCCCAGTTCAGAAAACTTTTATGTACCTACTTGTGTACGTGTACGTAAACCGTAAATTGTCCTTAACTGACCGAGCGGTTTGATTCATACAATTTGCGGAAAAATGTTCGTATATTAATATAGAATCGATCTGCAGCAGCCGTCTTTTTCACCATTTTTATTGATCTTAAATTCTCAGGGGCCAGGTGTGATTGATTATTTGTCACCTTATTAAAAAAAATGTTCAATTAAGGGTACCGCAACATATTAAAATTGTGAACGCGCTCTTGACAGTACACCAATGGAATTGACGCGCTGTCATGATCTTACCTCAAAGAATACTTGAGGTAGGTAGTAACCTTTATCTTTTATTTTGAAAATTATGAAAATTAATACAAATAAATCTTCTTAAAATGTATCATGAAAACTGAATAAGATTGAGACAACTTGTATTCGTATTTTAGGTATTTTGCTTACTTTTAAATATGTACATAAACTTGCTATTTTAGTAATTAAATTATACAGGTTTTTTTAACTTTCTTCATCTGGTAACTTACCAGACGAAGGGAGTTATTATCACTAAAAAACCCTGAATGATTTTATTACTAAAATAACAAGTTTATTACTTTTAAATACATAAACTTGCTTAAATACATAAACCTGAGTCATTTTCGGGACACCCTGTATAATGCATGTTATATTTTTTTATTTTCAATAAAACAAAACCTATATTTAAAATGTAATTTAATCACAGTAGGTGATTTTTATTCATAATATTTCTATATATATATATATATATTTATATAAGTTTGGGACGCACTGTATATTGACTAAAATACAATTTAATTTTATTCCAACATAAACAGGCAAGATGCATTTTATAATTTTATTTAGACTTTATTGTTATTTTGAATAGGAATTAAAAATATTATTTAGATCATTCACGTACATTTTAAATGAGTATCTTTAATACAATATTTTATATAAATAAATTATAAATTAGTTGCATAAATGTTATTGTGGTTAGTAAATGAAGTGCATTTGTATTCAATAGATTAAGAAAAAGAAGAGGAAAATGCTTTTGAACCAAACTGTTAATGGTTTTAAATCTATATTGACTGTCTAAAATTATGTATAATAAAGATAGAATAGAAAAATGTACAAGGTGTATTAGGAAATAGAAAACTATGTAATATTTGTATATATTAAGTAACTGGGAATATTAAAACAAAATATAAATTTCCAGTTGCCAGGAAAATATATTTTAAACAGTCAATACCTATATTAAGTAACACTTAACTTCTATATTACTCTACAACAATAAGGTGCAATTACTAGGATAACATAAAGTTCCATAAACAGTTTGGTGTTTTTAAAATTCCTATTCCAATAAATTAGACATATAAAAGCAATATGCAAAACTAGCGATCACTTATTAACATTTTGGGTTCAGGTGCATGCAAATTTGTATTTACTTGAAATAGTAGAAAAACTTGGAAGTCAAAAATGTGGCTTTGTCGATAATTGTTTAAAAAAATATTGTCTGGTACCAGTCTCAATGGGTTTAAACAACAAACATGGATTAGGCTATACATGGATTAATAAAGCTTTTAATACTTTTTTAAACAAAAACCACAAAATCAACATAACCAACTTAAAAATATTTCTACCAATAAGAGTAAATTTCAATTTTTTTGTCCCGACCCTTTTTTAACACAGGCAAAAACCGCAGCCTATATGAGCCATTTCCTACCTTCTCTCGGTATTGTCTTCTGGAAGAGTCCAAACTCTGAATCAAATTCGTCGCGTGACCTAAAAATAGAGCATAACAAGTTGCCCCCGAAATCATAGACAACATTGTCAGCCACATATCGGTAAGGGATTGGGGTGGAAACCTTCCGTAACCTATACACAGCATGTGGGACATGGCCTTAAATAGAGCCCAGGAATATTGCTCCAACCAAAAGGCTTCCTATAAGAAAAATAAAGTATTAGCATAAATCGCAGATATAATAAAATAGTGTTTACCAAACACTTAATTTAAAATTAAAAAACATAGTTTCAAAAAAATTCTTTAAAATTATTTATCTATTTTGCGTTCATAATGACTTTATTATAACACGGCTTTAGGTGCTGTAATGAGATACTTTATCCCACCCAAAATTTTGAGCATAATATTTTGCATATTGGTTATAATATTTTTATGATATTTCTAGTACTTACGAGACTTTTCTGGCAATAAATTTTGTTTAACACCAAAGAAAATCCTTTTTTTCTTCTTTAACATTAACAGCCGCTTATTTTAAATAAGTAAATTAAGGACGGCAAGGCGAATCGATTTTGACATTATCTGTCAAACCAATGACTGTGATACCAACTATGTAAAGTAAAATTCGACCAAATTAAATTTAAGGTATAAAATTAATTTTTTTATACCTTTTTTGCAAAAAAGATAAAATAGCATAAAGAACTCATGTCATAAGACATTTTGTCGCACTCGTCCATTGTCCGCGTGCCACAATATGACGTCTTATGACATTAGTTCTTTACCTAATATACTATTATTTATTATTTTTAAGGCAGATCTAAATCCTGACGTTAAACTTAGACGGATTCGAAGACAGTTTGAACTAAAAGTTTATTTTTGGTATTAACTTTTAAAATAGATACTTTAAAAGTGTTAACATTTCCTTTATGTTTTACAACTTTTACGTCAACTTTTTATTACAAAACAAATACAACAAAATTACTTATTTTTATCAGTTTATACTAATATATTAAACCAGCTTACTTGTAGTTCGTTGATTGCCACCCATGAATTTGCAGGGAATCCTTGCAGCATTGGTACTAAAAATTGCAGACAACCCGACCAATGGCCAATCAGCAACATCATACAAATAAGGTTGAATATCCTCATAAACACGCTGGCCATATTCAAAAACTGAAACATTACATCAAAATATTAAGCTATTGAGTCACTTTTTAGGAGTGATTGTTGAAAAAATCCAACAAGTGTTTTTTGTGTACTGAAAAAATCGTATATTAACTTATAATAAATCACATGCTAAAATATCTTTTTGGCTAAATTAATGCTTTATTCCTTATAAATAAGCAAAAAACTTATTGGATTGTGTTGTTAAAATACAAGCTACATAATTTTAAACCATTCAAATAATTTAATATCGTACTGCGATAGCTGAAAATTAAAATAAAATAAAATGTCTTATAAATTAACTCTTCAAAAGGTGTAAATAAAATAAAATCGTATAAAAAGCTCCTCTTATTGTGTCTTTGATTTTTTAAGGAGAAAAAAACCGAAAATGCTGTAAGCCAACCTCAAGCAAGTGTTTTTTTATATAAAATAAATGTTTTTAGATAAGCTTAAGCCAATTATAATATACAAATCGAGATAAAAGAAATATGTTGTTTAAAACTTATTGTTTTACTTCTCTGATCTGGCATTGTATATTAAGCAGAGTTAAAAAAGGACTGTGAATCACTTAAAGTGTCTATGTACCCAGCACCTTCAACCAACAAAATCATAATGGAAATCAAAATAAGCCAATAAGCTAAAAATGTATTCTATAAATACAAAAGCAATGTTTGTTTTTATTTTAACTTTCATGGTTACAGTTTTTATCATTGCCACTAAATATTTTCACGCTACGCTACTAGACTATATTTTATTAACTAGAACCCACTTACCTTTTTTCGCTTTTATATTGTTTTGACATGCAATTTTTCGTTTCTGTATTTTTCTAGTTGGAAGAGACATGCGTTTTTGGCAATATATACAAAGATATGTATAAATTCAATGTATTACTTTAATTTAAAATGATTTATGATCATAGCTTGTTTCAATTCAAAAATATCAAAATTGTAAAATTGGCGAATGCGCCGGGATTAGTACATTTTAAACCCACATATAACTGAAAACATAACATTGTAGTAGGTATATTTTCTTTAAACAAATTCAATTTATTTTGAAACGAGATTGGTAAGGAATGAATCTTCAATAAACTAACGTATAAACCTCGCATTTAGTTTACTACAGGAAATTGGACAATATAAGGGTATAAAGTTCGAATCCTTCATCTCGCCAATTTGGCCGTATATCCTGGTTATAAATTTCAGGATTTTCACGTACGGCTGTTAAAACGACATTGATGAATATAGCACATTCCTTTTTGAAAAAAGCAAAAAAGAAGGTTGTTATAATTTAATTAAAATAAGAAAACAAGAAAATAAATTGTAATATTTTAATATTGGAGGTAAAATTGATTTTAAAAACTCTTTAAACATTGATTCTTAGTTTAAATATTTTTGTATTACATGCCCAGTTTGTCTATCCTAGAAACTAATAAATCTAATTAAGCTTTTTTAACAATGTACGTTTTAGCAAATCAAATCAGTGTGACATGCCAAGAGCACGTTGACAGGAATATTTTGATTATGGAGTACTTTAAACTTAATTGCCTATCCGCACGTTCGGCATATTTTATATTTTCGTACTATTTAATTAAAACATTTAATTTACGCTCTAACGTAAAAAATTTTATTTAATTTATTTATTAAATAATTTGTTTTACTAGACTACCACAGACCGAAAATTTAAAATTTTGCGAATTCGAAAAAATGGTAATGGAAAATTTGTATTGAAATATTATTTATCTTATCTACGAGTAGTCTTATAGCGACTTATAACGTAAGTCATAATCAATTTATAGATTATTTTACCTACTAAAGAAAAGTCGTAACGGGTCATTGGACCCATGTTTATTTAGAGTTATCGTCTTCCTAGAAATAGTTTACATAACGCCCTGTATGTATATGTGACGCGCTCTGACAAAAGCGTCCAAACATTGATTTGGCTAAAATCTTTATATAAATGTATAATATACGCACTTTATATTATGCATGCATTAAAAATCTCACCCCTGTTATCTTTTGAACGAAAAAGGTATCGACTTCGGACAAAAGCCATTGTCAAGGATATTAATTATACTACTTTTTGACGTCAAAGTGCCAAGAGGGCAGTATGAACTTAAAAATTTCAAATGGAAATGGGGCTTGTGATACCTTATTTAAAAGGTTTCCCAGTAAGCACAAGCTAGCAGGCCCGCATACAGCCCGAATACGTTTTGCCGAATCAGCCGGCATGTAGAACGGGCATGTCCGCCTGGCCAACTGTCGGGCATATCCGCCTAGCCGAAGTCGGCTATGTTTACTCGGCCGAGTGTCGGCTGTGTATAGTTGGCCGAGTGCCGGCCACAACCGCCTGGCCATTCAAAAAAAGCCTACAGACGTCCTGGAGAGGTATATCCTATAAGTTCAGTACTGAAATTCTCTGAATGGCAAGATATTTTTTTAACACACTCGACTAGCTGGACATTATTCGTAACTGAGCAGATGAGGATGGAGATGGGGACTCCAAACAATTAATGTTCAGCTATGCCATTGCGGACTCACACTTCCAACTAAATATTGCAACCAATCGCTATTTATAGTTAGCTCGCGTGCGTAAGCAACCGTGAGATGTATCGCTTATGGCGCGGCAGGCTGTATTTCAGCCGTAAGCGGGCCGGCTAGGGCAAGCCGAAGGATTTTGCAGCGGCATGCCGTATTCTGGCCGACTTCGGTTAGAACATGGCCAAACGGTACCGGGGGTAACATATCACGGGCCGGCTGGGGCAAGCCGAACTGCCGGTCAACCGGCTATGCCGAGCGAAGGCCGACTGTTTGCCGAGTGTTTGGTGCTTACTGGGTTGATGCTATTTTCATTTTTAAAACCCGTTTAATGGTTGCTAAGTAGGTAATTAAGCATTTAAGTTTTTCAAACTTATAAATTTTATTGCCGCCCCAGGCAGATGCCTACGTTCTGTAAATCCGGCCCTGGCGGTACGAATTATAGCAAATCTGTATCACTATTTAGTTTTCTTTGTTTTGAAAAAAAAACGTACCAGTGTAGTTTTAAGGCGGTTTATAAAATAATTGTACTCTCTAGTGTAACTATCAGTTCTGACTGCAATTTTGCTTTTTATTTCATTGGAAAATGGTACGCGCTCGCAATTTTTTATTTATGCTGAAGTTAAACGTAATTTGCACCAAGCAGAGAGGGTATAAAATATACCCAGAAAACCATATTTACAGCAAATAACCGGAGTTAGTGACTTAATTTCAAACAACTGGTAGTGTGAGTAGGCAGAAAGGATCGGGTAGAATCTTAGAAGACAAATAGAAATAGTCGGCTACGTCGTCAATAACCCGCGGCAGTTGCAGGGGATTGTGATATATCAAAATCAACTGTTACTTATAACAGTTGATTTTGTTATTCTATAGAAACTATTACTGAAGATGACCCGGATCGCAGAGTACAATTTTGTGAAGTTATATGTGAGCGCATAATACAAAATGAATGAACTTTTTTCTGGTCAGATTTTAATCCACATGATTTTTGTGAAGGCCAGTACCCACAAAAAGTCAATTTTTGTGTCAAAATAAGGGGAGCATTTCGTACATCTAATATGTAATTTATTGTGCTAAATAAATGAAAACATTGTTCTTAATAAATAAAAACACCTATCACAAGCTCCCCTTATAACCCAGATTTTTTCAGTCACAATATCCCTTTAGCTCAGGTGGTCTTGTATAAAAAGTTCTTTAAAATTTCTACCAACCTTAATGGGCACCAAGTATTTTTTTTTTTTGAAATATTTAGGTAAAAAAAATTACTAAAAAACAATTAAACATTTAACCACATTTATTGAAATTATCGTTTCAGAATTTTATTCAAGTAATCATAATAACCCTTGTTATATTGGCCAATATCCACTCGGTTTACAATCTACCCCTTTAAATATCATCATCAGGTTTCGGTATAAAATACCCAAATCTATATGTTTATAAATGCATAACATTGCTTACAATAATATTTATATCTATAATTTGTACTACGTCACGATGTATACCTTCTGTTGTACATCCCGTTTAATATACCCCCCGTTGCTATAACAGCCCTGATTCGATGATATATCTCTTAGGAATTCACCCCATCCATTTATATCCGAGTACCATGTACATACTTATATTAATCAAACAATAAGGTCTTAAAACTACCTGACCTTTAAGGCACAGGAGGTAGATGTGTCCCTCTTCGATGACGAACAGCTGATAAGGTGGTGAAGTGACATGATTTCGGAAATCGAGTTGCCTCTAGTTGAACCAAGGTAGATACCGGACGTATACCAACACTTGAACGTACAAAAAAGAAAAACCCTAAAAGAACAATGAGCATAAGAATTTGCATCTTGAAGGTAGAAACTAACCTTACATCGAAAAGGGTTTTGTCTTCGTAGGAAATAGATCTTAATTATCTCTAAATAATACCAAAATCGGATTGGTGTAGATCCAGCAAAGTTCGGTCAGGTGAAGTTAAATCCAGTTATATCCGAAATACATCGATAGGATCCGGCACTCAAAATACCACAAATTACCAATAAACAACATTTCACTGTTCCTAATACGAATAAATATGTCTATATCCCTTTAATAAGGTTTCACTTTGCAGAGCAAAAATTCGACCATGTTATTCTCTGGACGACAACAAACATAAGACAAAGTCTATGCTACGATGCTTTGTCCCCTCTTCCAAAAGCAGACCTGCGCACCTATATCCCAAATGACAAAATATGCTCTTAAAAGACTAACCATGTCAAAAGACAAAACAAAGACTAAAAATTCGATAACAATTTAAACTCTCGATATCAAACAACATATAGCGATAAAAAGGCTTGACAAAAGATCTTAAATTCAAACTACGCGCGAAAATTAAACCAATAGGAAAGCAACTGCAACATGTGCCGAATATATGAACAGTGTTGCCAATGAGGGCTCTGCGTCTCAACGGTATCGAGCGAACCAGCATTTAACGTC